GTGTGTGTGTGTGTGTGTGTGTGTGTGTGTGCGCGTGTGTTTGTTTGTGTGTATATATATACACACACGCACACACGTGTGTGTGTGTGTGTGTGTGTGCGTGTGTTTGTTTGTGTGTATATATATACACACACGCACACATGTGTGTGTGTGTGTGTGTGCGTTTGTTTGTTTGTGTGTATATATATACACACGCACACATGTGTGTGTGTGCGCGTGTATGTACGTATGTATGTACATATGCATGTAAGTATGTATGTACAGATGCATATAAGTATGTATGTATGTATATGCATATATACATATATATATATATACACACACACATAAACATATGTATATAATACACAAACACATACAAACACACAAATACACACACACGCAAACACACACACACGCAAACACACACACACGCAAACACACACACACACACACACACACACACACACACACACACACACACACACACACACACGCACACACACACACACACACCCATATATATATATATATATATATATATATATATATATATATATATATATATACATATACATATACATATACATATACATATACATATACATATACATATACATATACATATACGTATACGTATACGTATACGTATATTTATATCTATACATATACATATATATCTATATATATATCTCTACTCATACATGTGTGTGTGCGTGCTTTGGAGATAATTCGCACAAATTCTCGCGGAGCCTCGCCGTCTCCCGCCTTGGTTCCGGATGCAACAGCCCCAGCGGATCCCAAAGGGAACCTGCGACGCCGCCCTCCCGCGGAGGCCGAGCACCGCGGTCGCCACTGCCCTCCCTGGGTACAGGTCGCTTCCACCAAGCTGTGTGCCGTGCACTGCGCCACACCTCTGTCGCTTGGCTTGGCTGGGGCTAAATCCTTACATTCCTTCTTTTTCCAACGCCACGCCGATTATCTGCCGACGCTGCGGTGATCGCCAGGGCTTCTAATAATGTCTAGCCTTACTCATTTCCTTTACCGATATTCCAGCAGATAACGCCGACATCTCCCGCTGGTGGCGCGCTTTCTTTCTTTTTCCTAGAATGTAACGTTTAATTCTGCGCCTTCGCATAGTTATCGAGAGGATCTCACAATCTCTTACATATCACTCTTCCAAAGCAAGCTTACGGCACGACTTAAAATATCGTCCGGAAGACCTCGGTCGTGATAATCCACGGAAAGGAATTAACAAGGCGGTTCCAGCAGCTGGCCGCGATCTGGGTTAGGATCACATTAAACGGGAAAAACACTTCACTATATATAAACTGCGCATAACACATGATAATTCTCGTTCTCAGAATCTGAAAATAAATCAGCAATACTGAAATGGGAGCTAAATCTTATGCCTTTGAAGAGAAGAATGCAATAAATTATATAACCTCACATTACGAAAGAAAGAATAAATCTTTGAGACAGTGTATAATATTTTTGAGAACATTAATAATTTGAAATTACATAAATTCTATATAATTTAGAAATTCCCCAAATAACGCAGTCGTAAACATCAAGGTAAAGAGCACAGAGGTGTCCCACGGGGGTCCACAGGAATAGCAGGCCCGGGGCGTCCTGCAGAGGATGCAGGACGCCGCCGCCGCGGCCACGGAGCGGAAAACAGCGCGCGTGTCGGCCACGCTGCTGCTGCTGCTGCCTACCTTCCAGCCGGCGGAAGAGTTGGAGTCGCCCTTATCCTTGAAGTAGGGCACGTTCTGAACCATCCAGTCGTAGATCTGGGACAGCGTGGCGCGCCCGTCGGGGGACGACATGATGGCCTGCGCGATGAGGTCGGCGTAGGACATGTTGCCCCAGGGGTTCCGGCGGGAGGTGTTCTTCTTGGGCGGGCCGCCCGGAGGGTCGCCCGGACCAACGGCGCCAGGAGGCCGCGGCTGGTCAACGGGGACCGGGCCCTCGGTGGCGACCGCCACGGGCTCTTCCCCTTCCATGTAGCCTTCGGGGCAGGGCAGCGGCCACGTGTTCGAGCGCGAGCGTGCCACGGGCTCGAAGTTTGGGTCAATCTCGATACGGTGGTGTGGGGGCGGCTGAAGGCTGGTGGGGGTAACGGGTGTCAAAGGCATGCCAGCCTGCATGGGCGGGCCACCTACATGTGGGCCACCGCTCCCCGGGGATGTATGACCGCCCATGCCCACGCTTGTGGGTGGCAGTGCCACAGGTGTAGTTTCCATAATATCGTGTCCTGTATCAGGTTCCTCTTTCACCAACGAAAAGAAACTTGTTGCCATCATTACAAAAATGCAGAACAAAATCACAAAGACTTAAGAGTGAAGTACTGGTTGACACTTGATGCGGAATAATGTATTGGTCACACGCGTCGTCACCGAGGCCCGAGGCGAGTGGACATGATCATCACTACACTGGAGGAGCGCGCGTCCTAAGGCTACGCGGCCCACCGACTGACTGACTGACTGGCCCGACCCGACCCACGACGAGCTGCCGCCAC